TTTTAGATCATTATCCTGCTGTCATGGTGGTCATGCAGTGTAGGGAGAGATCTTACTAGATACCTGTGGCACTGGCCACGCCCGTTTGGGCGTGGCCGCAGGTGCTTACGGGTGTGGGATAGAGGCCTGGGGAGAGTGAAGCAGGTCTCTCTTGGGGTTCCAGTTGGTCTCGGAGAGCAGCTGAGATGCTAGGAGCACTGACCCCGGGTTATTGGTTTCTCATGTACGTGATTTCTCCCAAATAAAATAACCTACGCCATCCCTACCCCGTGTATGGTAATCTCCATCCTGCATCTACAATGCAGACCCCTGCAGAGAAGTAGGCAAGGCTGGCTTGCCTTGTTGGCTAACCACAAGCTTCAGAGATCCTGACTCCCTTTCTCCAGCACTAGGATTACGAATGCCAGTCACCATTTGTAGGATTTGTTTTTATTTATATATGTGGATGTTCATGTGAACGTACACCATGAGTGTTCAGGAACCCTCAGAACGCCAAAAGAGGGCACTAGATCACCCTGGAGCTGGAGTTACAGGTGGTTGTGTGTCACCCGACAAGGGTGCTGCGACCTAAACTCGGGCCTTCTGGAAGAGCAGCAAGTGCCCTTAAACTGCTGAGGTGTATTTCCAGTCCCCACTGTTTGTTTAGTTTTCATGTGGGTGCTGGGGCATCAAGCTCAGGTCCTCATGCTTGTACGGCCAGCACTTTTCTAACCAAGCTGATGCCTCACCCTTGAATACCTTAATATGAACAAAGAAAGAAAATGTGTGAGAAACAAAGTAAAACATAGATAGGCTTTAGTCTAAGCAAGGAGGCAGAGTAGGAAGGGAGAGACTTGACTATTGGGTGGGGGGGGGACTTGTTTTGTTTTGTTTTGTTTTGTTTTGTTTTGTTTTGAGACCTAGTCTCACTGTGTAGATCTGGCTGGCTTGGTACCTGCTATGTAGACCAAACTGACCTTGAACTAACTCAAAGAGATTCCCCTGCCTCTGACTCCTAAGTGCTGGGAGTAAAATGTCACCATGCCCTGCTTGGAAAAAAAAATTATTTTTGAGACAAAGTATCATGTCGTTCGGCCTCAAATGCTCTAAGCAACTGAGGGTGACCCTGAACTCCCCATCCTTCCGCCTCCACTCTCCCAGTACAGGGACTACAGGGATGCTTGAACCCAGGGACTCATGCATGCAAGCACTCTACTTTTAAAAGAAATTAGCTACATTATGTAAAAAAGAAGTTTAGAATATGATGAAATCTTTAAAAAGGTGAAGTGAGGCCCGGGGTATAGCTCAGTGGTTCAATGCCTGCCTCACAAAGCAGTGGGTTCCATCCTCCAAAGTGCAAAATCATCACTATCAGCTTTCTTAAGAAAATAAACAGGCTTCTAAGGGATACAATAAAATACTTTATAATTAAATAGAATAAAAACTAACACACTGAATAGTACAAAACAAACAGAAGGAAAGAGCCCAAGAAATGGCACAAGAAACTGTTACAGATGTTACAGAGACCCACTGTTTCACACACTCCTGAATCCCATAAAAAACACCAGGCTTTTTTCTGAGTATGTGCTCTGTTTTGGGAAAAGCTCTGTGTGGGGCTAAGAAGAAGGTGTGTTCTTTCATGTTTGGATAAAATGTTCTGTGAATATCTGTTAGGTCCATCTGGTCTATAACATCAGTTAGCTTCAGCGTGTCTCTGTTTAGTTTTTGTCTGGATGACCTGTCTCTAGGTGAGAGTGGGGTATTGAAGTCTCCCACTATCTGTGTGTAGAGTTGATATGTGATTTAAGCTGTACTAGTGTTTCTTTTATGAACGTGGTGCCCTTGTGTTAAGAATTGCAATGTCCTCTTGGTGGATTTTTCCTTTGATGCCTGGGTAGTGTTCTTCCATATCTCTTTAGTTTTAGTTTTAGTTTGAAGCCTATTAAGTCAAGATATTAAGGTGGGGCTACACCAGCTTACTTCTTAGGTTCATTTACTTGGAATAACTTTTTTCCATTTTTTTACCCTAAGGTGATGTCTATCTTTGATGTTAAAGTGTGTTTCTTGGGTGCAGAAGGATGGATCCTGTTTTCTCATCCATTCTGTTAGTTTGTATCTTTCTATTGAGGAATTGAGACCACTGACATTAAGAGTTATGAAGCAGTGTTTGTTATTTCCTGTTATTTTGTTGTGGTGTGTATATGTTTCCCTTCTTTTGATTTGCTGGTCTGGGATTATTTATTGGTTGTGTTTTCTTGGATGTGGTTAACCTAAAGAGGTTGTAGTTTTCCTCCTAGTGCCTTCTGTAGGGCTGGATTTGTAGGTAGATTTTGCTTAAATTTAGTTTTTTTAATGGAATATCTTATTTTTTCCATGTGATTGAAATTTTGCTGGGACAGCTGGGCATGACGGTGTGCACCCCTTTAATCCCAGCACTTGGGTGGGAGGCAGAGGCAGGCAGATCTCTGAGTTCAAGCCCAGCCTTGTCTACAGAGAGACCCTGTCTTAAAAAAACAAAAGATTAAAAAAAAAGAAAGTTTTGCTGTGTATGGTAGTCTGAGGTCTGGGCTGCCTTCTGTGGTCTCTTAGAGTTTGTAGAACATCTGTCCAGGCCCTTTTGGCTCTTAGTCTCCCTTGAGAAGTCAGGTGTTATTCTAATAAGTTTTTCGTCTATGGTCATACCACCCTGGACATGTCTGATCTTGTCTAAGGCCTTTATATGTTACTTGTTTTGTTTTTCTCTTACAACTTTATATATTCTTCCTTTGTTCTGTATGTTTAGTATTTTGTTTATTTTGTTCCATGGGAAATTGCTTTTCAGGGCCAGTCTATTTGGTGTTCTGTGTGCTTCTTCTACCTTGATAGGCATCTCTTTCTTTGGGTTAGGAAATTTTTCTTCTATTATTTTGTTAAAATATTTCCTGTGCCTGGGTTTCTTCTCCTTCCTCTATTCTCCTAGTCTTAGATTTGGTCTTTACATGGTGTCCCAGGTTTCTTGGATGCTTTGTGCTAGGATGTTTTTCATGCTAATGCTTTATTTTACTGAGGTATTCATTTCTTCTTTCGTGTTCTCAGTGCCCGAGACCCTCTCTTCCATTATTGTGTTCTGTTGGGGAGGCTTACCTTAGGTTCCTGGTTGAGGTCCTAAACTCTTCAGTTCCAGGTTTTCCTCAGTTTGGGTTTTCTTTATTAATTCTGTTTCCACTTTTGGGTCTTGAGCAGTTTTATTCCTTTCTTTTCACTTGTTTGTGTTTTCATAGATTTCTTGAAGGGATTCAGTCATTTTAAAGACCTCTATCATATTCATGAAGGCTATTTTAAGGTATTATGTCAGCTAGGTTGTACTTCTCAGAGCCTTTTGTATTATGTCAGCTAGGTTGTACTTCTCAGAGCCTTTTGTGTCCCCTTTTGCTGGGCTCGAGGGGATATATATTGTCCTGGTTGTTACTGTGTTTTTACACTGGAGTCTAAGCATCTGGGGTTGGGATGATTATAATCTAGGTGCTAATATCTGGTCTTGTCTTTGTTGGGTGGGTGTTTTGTTCCTTGGTTTCTGTTTCCTCTCTGGTTCTTAGGAGAGTGTGGTGGCTGTATGTTGCCCAGTGGAGAACTCTTCTGGGATCCTGCTATGTGTGGCCACTGAGGGTCCTGGGTAAAATGTGTTTCCAGGTATTGGGAGCTGACACTTGAAAATGGGCATGGGCTAGGAGGGTAGAGGCTGAGGGGTCCACAGGAGGGAGGAGGGCAGTGTTCCACTAAGATCAGCTGAGATGGAAAGCAGAGAGTGAGGAGAGCCCACAACACATAGTCGACAACAGAGCTGGGGGGTGAGACTGGGGGCCTGGATATGGAGGAGAGGAGAGAGAGGTGAAGAGCCATAGTTGTTCTATCTGCTTCTCTGGCCTGCAGTTCCCAGGGAACCCTATGCCACATTCTATGTGGATTTTTAGGACTATCTTCCAACTTAAAAATGTTTCTTTACCAAGAGCCACTATATGTTTATCAAATATTTTAAAATATATTTAAATATTTATTTATCAGCTGTTCATATATTTACTTATTCAGTTTATGTATATGTATGCTGCAGTGGGTTTTCTCCTTCCACTATGTGGGTTTGGGGCATCAAATTCAGGTTGTCAGGTTTGGTAGCAAACACCTTTACCCACTGAGAACCTTGCTGATATATAAATATAAGTATATATATTACATATAATATGCATTATATAAATGTAATGTATATGTTACATTTTCTTGGAACTTACATATCATGTCTCTATGTTCATGCCATTTTCATGTGTATACTTCATAATTTCCTTGGGGATGTAGCTCAGTGATACAGCATTTCTTTACCTGGCACAAACACCTGGATTCTATCCCCAGCTCCACAAAACAAAACAAAAATCAAATAAAACAAAAAAATCATGTTTCTTTTTTGACAAATGGTTTCTTCGCTTATTTCTTGAAACTTTTTTGTTTTTTTGAGACAGGGTTTCTCTGTGGCTTTGGACGCTATCCTGGAACTAGGTCTTGCAAACCAGGCTGGTCTCCAACTCACAGAGATCCTCCTGCCTCTGCCTCCCCAGTACGGGATTAAAGGAATGCGCCACCACCACCCAGCTCTTTAAACATTCTTTTTTTTTAATTTCAGACAACCTACATGACATGTTCTTTCTTAAAAAGAAGAAGAAGAAGAAGAAGAAGAAGAAGAAGAAGAAGAAGAAGAAGAAGAAAAACATGGTCAAAATAAAAGCTCAAGATGACATCAGTCCCATTTGTCCTAAGCCCTGGTGTTGTATGGATGGTAAGCAGCAGCCAGCTATGGTGACAGGTGACAGATCCCATTTGCTAGCATTTTTCCATCTCTAGGCCATCCTTAAAGAAAATCATGAATGGGGTCACACCATCTTCATGGTAGTCCAGGAGAGCAACCATGCCATCTGGGTTCATGTTCTCACCAATAAAAAACTGGTTCATGTTCTCACCAATAAAAAACTTGTAGTTATTGAAATTAGCAAGGATGTGCTTAATTTGTTCTGCAGTCACAGTCATAAAAGGCTTTACTCTTTCAGGTTTGTGTTCTTCAAGTTTGCTTTTGAGTCCTTTCACATAATTTTTGATGTGCTTTTTGTAGGCCTCTTTGGTGAAGCTGGTTTCTTGTAAGTGGAGAGTGACATCAACACCAGTGACTGCTGTGCTTTCAATTCCTTGGCCCTCTGGGCCTTCAATGGAAGCATTCCCACCAATAAGGAAGTCATTGATGTTACCTTCTGTTCTACTGACCGTCTTGCCCTTCACCTCCAGGCACAGCTTGTCATGTTCGGAGAGCAGCTCGTCATGGCTGAATGAGGCTCCGGTAGATGGTGGGGGCTGGGGACAGCAGCACTGGCCTAACAGCATGGAGCAAGCATGGTGCAGCAGGAGAGGTGCTGGGAGGGGGGTCCTTAAACATTCTTATTTTCAAATCTTTAGCAGATGAACCCACAAACTGTGAATAGGCTAGCTGTATTTCTGTTTGCTTTTAAATTTTTTACTATTCAGTTTCTTCACATGTCTCTGAATCTGGGGTCTCAGGCTCATTATTTGGGATGGGTGCTTGGGCTTTGCATTGTGCTGTTTACTTTCTGTCCTTCTTTTTTGTTTTTTGGGTTTGGGTTTGTTTTTTGTTGTTGTTGTTGTTGTTGTTGCTATTTGTTTTTTGTTTTGGGTTTTTGTTTTTTTTTTTTTTGCCTGGTGGGTTTAGTCGTCTGCTTGCACAGACAACTTACCTAGCACAGGACTTGGGTTGTGCTCTTTACTGACACTGGAGGGTTGCAGACCCAGCGATGCAGCTGGAGAAAGGCTTGGAGCATTAGTTATTTTTATTATTGCTGTGAAAAGATGCCATGACCAAGGCAACTTAGAGAAGAAAAAGTTTATTTGGGTGTGGTGATTTGAAAGAAAATGGCCCCCAAAGGGAGTGGCACTATTAGAAAGTGTAGCCTTGTTGGAAGAAGTGTGTCACTGTGGGGGTGGACTTTGAGGTCTCCTATGCTCAAGCTACTCCCAGCCTACTTCCTGTTGCCTCCATATCAACATGTAGCTCCTTCTCCAGCACCAGTCTGCCTGCATGCCAACATGCTCCCTGCCATGATGATAAACTGTGAGCTGCCATCTCAATTAAATGTTTTCCTTTATAAGAGTTCCTGTGTAGGGGCTGGAGAGATGGCTCAGCAGTTAAGAGCACTGACTGTTCTTCCAGCAGTCCTGAGTTCAATTCCCAGCAACCACATGGTGGCTCACAACCACCTTGAATGAGATATGGTACCCTCTGCTGGTGTGCAGGCAGAAGACTGTATACATAATAAATAAATAAAACCTTAAAAAAAATAGTTGCTGTGTCATGGTGTCTGTTCACAGCAGTAGAAACTCTAAGACATGAGGCTTACAATCTCAGAGGGTTAGAGTCCATGTCCATCATGGCAGGGATTATGGCAGCAGGCAGGCATGGGGATGGAGCAGGGCCTGAGAGCTTACATCCTTAGCCTCAAGCATGAGGGCCTGAGAGCTTACATCCTTAGCCTCAAGCGTGAGGAGAGGAGAGAGGAGAGAGAGGAGAGAGGAGAAGGAGGAGAGAGAGAGAGAGAGAGAGAGAGAAGAGAGAGAGAGAGAGAGAGAGAAAGAGAGAGAGAGAGAGAGAGACTGGAAAAGGGTCTGCTTTTGAAACCTCAAAGTCCACCCCACACACATCCTCCAATGAGAGCACACCTCCTAATCCTTCTCAAACAAACTTGGGACCCAGCAATCAAGCCTAAGAGCCCATGGGAGCCATTCTCTTTCAAATCACCACAGTTAGGAAGATGTCTCTGCCCTCTCACACCCCTCGTTCTGCCATAGCTCCTATAGCCTGCTCAGCTGCCAGGCTGTTCCCTTTTGTTCTGTTTAAACTTGCCCCACAAAGAATGGCTGCATTATCAGCCCCTGCACCCTGTTCCCTAGGTGACATTTTAGCTCCCATCAGCCCACAAGGTTTGGCTCTACTCACCACTTTGCTTTCTAGCTCTTTACATCTACCAGGTATTTATCCAGTGATTTGTTCTGTTTTTTGTTGGCACTCATACCTTTGAAACTTTATCTCCCATTGTTACAAGTTAACAGCAGCAAGAGTGTTAGCCTTCCTTGTCAGCTCCGCATTATTTAGAATCATCAGGTAAACACAGCTGTGTGTTGATGAAGGCATTTCCAGAAAGGTTTTACAAAAAGATCCACCCTGAATGTGGGTGGGACCATCCCAGGGGCTGGGGTCCTGGGCTGAATGAAAAGGAGAAAGAGAGCTGGGAGGTGGTGGCCTGCGACTTTAATCCCAGCACTCGGGAGGTAGTGGCAGGCAGATCTCTGTAAATTTGAGGCCAACCTGGTCTACAGAGTAAGTTCCAGGACAGGTTCCAAAGCTACAGAGAACCCCTGTCTTGAAACCAAAAACTACAAAAGAGAGAGAGAGAGAGAGAGAGAGAGAGAGAGAGAGAGAGAGCATCAGCATGACTCCTTCTCTCTAATGTAATGGGTAGGACCAGCTGCTTTGGCTCCTCCCACCATTCCTCCCTGCCAAGACAGACTCTGTCCCCTCAAACTGTAAGTAGAAAGAAACGCTTCCTCTCTGAAGTTGCTCTTGTCAGGTAGTATCAAAGTAACAAGAAAAGTAGCTGATACAGAGGGTGTGTCCGAATATTTGTCCCCAACCTTCCTCTCATAATATTTAAGTCATTTTTAGACAAAGTTTCTGTTTTTCACAATGGAAACATACTAGCTGGAGGAAGCTAGAGTTTGAAACATCTAAGCCCTGAGACTCCAACTCTGCCAGTTCCAGTAATGGACATGTTATATGGGCTTATCCCGATGCTTATTGATGGAAATGCCCAACCGGGGAACTTCTAATTGTGGACCAGCTTCCTGTAGTGACTCAATGTGGCAGTAAGATGGCTAACAGACATAGAATGTTCCACTCCAGTATTCTGGTTACAGCCCTGTGTCAACTGTACCTACCCACCAAAGGTACATTTATTTATTTGTTTGTTTTTAGACAGGGTCTCACTCTATGGTGCAGGCTGACTTGGAACTCACTGTATAGCTCAACCTAGCCTTAAACTCACGGCAATCCTCCTGTCTCAGCTTCTATGTACTGGCATTACATGCATGAGCCAATCACTATACCTGGCTAGATAATTCAACAAAGGGGTGGAAGAGGGATGGAGGGAGGGAAGGGTACACACATGCATGCACCCACCCACACACGTAACCATGCATGCACATAGAAAGAGACTCAAAGGGCCAAAAGGTAGGCTAAAATACTCTTGTAGGTTCTCAGCTGGAAGAGTGTCAGAATGAAAGAACTGCATGCTTTCATTTTTCAGAACAGTACAAACAAAATAATTACAGAATAAAGACCAGAGCTGCAGTGGAGTGCTTGGATCTTCTACAGAAAAACATTCATCGGTTACAATGTTAGCCCAAGAGAGAAGCAGCGCACAATTCCAAATGGACAATATTCAGTACAGGGAAATAGAAATGATGGAAAGATTGGATCCCCACAGGGTGCCTGGACTAGGTGGCAAGGGTTCCCATGTATTTAAGGAACAGCAGTATCCACTGATGTATGAGTGATTTCAAAAAGAACAAAAAGAAGTGGGGTGAGGGTAGGGACATAGCCTGGTGACAGAAACCGGAGAGCGCTTAGAATGTGTGCTGCCCCAGGGTTAGCACTAGAACAAAAAGTCCCGGGGATGTAGCTCAGTTGGTTGAGTGCTTGCCTACCATGCATGAGGAAACCCTAGGCTCAGTCCTGAGCATCTCATGAACTGGGTGTGGGCACACATCTGTGACCCCAGCACTCAGGAAGTGGAGGCAGGAAGACCAGGAGTTCAAGGTCATCTTTGGTTATTTAGTGAGTTTAAGGCCAGCCTGGGATATAGGAGACCATGTCTTAAAAACCGGTAAGAAAGGATGAGGTGGCTCCGTGGGTAAAGGAACCTGCCACCAAGCCTGATGGATGACCTGAGTTCCATCCCAAAGACCCATATGGTGGGAAGAAAGAACCAACTCCCACAACACACACACACAACTGGCCTCCACTTGTGCTCTGCTGCCTGGGGCTCCTGCAGTCAGGACTATGGGAAGGGCTGTTCCAGCTGGTCACTTCCTGGGGCTGAGCCTTCCTGGGGCTGAGCGGGATGGTGAGTGTTGATGACCCAGCCACCCTCCTGGTCACACACTGAGTCGTGATGACCTATTAAGGCACTTATATAGAGTTGAGAAAGTGGGTGGGGACCTCAGGATGGGGTGAGTGAGGTGTAGGGGCCAATAATATCTCTCCATGCCAGCAGTAGCTGCACAGAGGCAGTTAGCAATTGCTGAGTCAGATCGACAAACTCTAGCTAGACTCAGGAAATTCCACGAGGCCTTGGGCTGGGGACTTTTTAGGCCCAACATGCTGTGGCACGTGCACATACACACCTACAAAATAAAACAGAAATGTAATGTAAGATTAATAATAATGAAAAAGAGTAACAATCCACAGAAGAAGCAAAGCCTATTCCTGGATCTGTGTTGTAAACTGGTATAACACATCCTTGCATTTATTACAGAATAAAAACAAGAGGGTGAGGGTGCAGCTAAATGGTGAAGTCCTTAACTATTGTGCATAAATCCCCAGAATTTTTCAGAAGACTTTTAAAAAAGTGATGTAGTCAAGAACTTTGAGGCAGGAGGATTGATGTAAGTTCAAGGCTAACTTGGGCTACATAGTGAGTTCCAGGCTAACTTGCCTTACAAAGACTGTCTCAAGTCTCTCTAAGGGAAAAAAATGAAGGAAGAAAACCATAGACCAGAGAGATAAGGTCAAATATCATTAAAAGCTAGAAAGTGACATAATGGGAGTCTTTGATTGGGTTTGAGATGACTGGGAAGGGAAAGGACTGGAGAATGAATCTTTAGAAATTCAAGTTCCAATACCCCAAAACTTGTCACACAAACAAGTCTCACTGGTCACCCATCTGCAGCCTCTGGAATAGCTCCATTATAAACATGGATGGAAAAATCCAATTACGATACTCATAAACCAGGACCATTGGGATGACTCAGCAGGTAAAGTCACTCAACACCAGGCTGACAGCCTGAGTTCAAGGCCCAGAACACTTATGGTAAAAGGAGAGGGCCCACTCCTAAAAGTTGTCCTAGACCTTCTCATGTACACACTAAATAAATAAATGCAAAACAAAACAAAATGCTCTTAAAAAAATACTCAAATCCAATACAACTTATATGACAATTGAAAGGGGCAGGAACAAGCCTGGCGTTGGTGGCACACGCCTTTAATCCCAGCACTTGGGAGGCAGAGGCAGGCTAATCTCTGTGAATTCGAGGCC